CTCGGATTTACAGCAGAACTGCTCAGGACTGATACATTTCAAGTCTGTAAATATGGACACCAACGCCATTTAACCTAATTTAAGAACAGAGGGGAACTGAACCTTCCATGCTGAGGGCTGCATGCTACTGCATTTAAATCAATACATTGGCTACCTGATAACAGCTGTCGTCTAAGGCAGCGCCTGTAACGTTGGCAGCACTTTGAGAGCAAGTCTGAATGGACCCACGTGTAATCTGCTATGAAAAACCATTTGTATAGTGTGTTTCATTTTTTAATGTGTGAAAATAAAGAAAATTAAAGGATTTCTGTACAAGTTGCATTTGGTTTTGTTTTAAGTTTTACTAATTTCTATATGTAAATAAAAGATATAATGATTGTGCAACTTCATATTCCCCGTGTCTTCCTGTAGTCTTCAAGGGCTGCATCTCTGGATTAAGATCTTAATCAGTCCCCCTTGCAATTTGTTGAACACCCACACTTATTTCTGAGGCTTCCTCCTGTGACTTGAATGCAGCAAGAAATTCAGTGACCTCAGGTCGGTTGGCTGACACTGAGCACTTCACAGGTTAATCCTCTGGGGAGGGGCTAGACTGTCACAGTTGAACAGAGGAGCTGAGATTTGGAGGTGGAGCTGGCCAGAGCTCTACAGTGTCCCACCTCAACTGCCAAATCGAACAGGTCAACAGGAGGTGAGTTAAGGGTACCTCCTCCTCTCCAATGAGTATGGAGCACCTTCCCAGCATGTCCCCAAAGGAGACCTCAAGCTGAGTTTCAGGCTGCACACCCACCTCAGATGGGGCCACATCCTGGGTGTCCTGCACCCCTCAGTGGCTGTTGTACATCTGTTCCTCACTAGCTTCCTTCTTGGTTCTCATTCTTAGGTCTGGTTTGTGTTCATTTTCTGGCCAGAAGAATGGGGAGGAGGTGGCCAGGCTCCCTAGCCAGGTCTTTCATTTTCCTCATGGAAGCTCAGAATGTCTCAAATGCTTGGACATCCTCCCTTTACCAGGTTGAGTTAGCAGAGTGGGAGGAGGCGCAGCCGACTAAAGTGAGCAGCAGTGCTTGGGGTTCCTCAGAACCCAGCAGGCTCTTAATGCTCATGACGCATGCACACTTCCAGTGTGTCCCAGTGGGTAAGCCAGGCACAAGCTGCAGTGGGACCTTCTCCAACCCTTAAGTGCCCTCAGGCTCCAGGGGAAGGACTGGAAAAGCGCCCCTTAACGTCAATTGGGAGTGGTGCTCACAGTTTGCTTTTCCTTGTAACTGTTCCTTTTCTATCTCTGGGAAAAATTCTGTAAAGAAACAACAACTTTGAGAATTTGTGTGTGAGTCCGTGAACAGTGGAAAGGATCCTCAGGAGGTTGCTGGAGTCTTCACCTCTCCAGGATCAGGCGGCCCTGGGTAAGTGCCTTGGTTCTGTTTTGCTTAACAGTAAGCAAAGCTGAACACGTGAAGGGACAGCTCTGTCAGGCACCGATTCCGTCTTTCTTCAGACCCACACTCGAACCTGCCCCCTTCATACTGGATAAATGTACTGTTATGGGAAGAAAATGCCATTCCAGGTCCTTTGCCTTCATTTACTCAACCATACCATATCCTAACAGGCCAAGAGGGTTGAGCTCCAGTGAGTCACCTTTAGGCCCAAATGGTTGCTTAACAGATTTCCAGCATTTAGAAAAGCACGTTCTGTGGGGTTTACTTTTCAGGACCATCTAGTAAATAGCAGTCTTCTGTAACAGCTTGAAAGCAAAGGCCTGGCGCTATGGCGTGCAGTCCACAGGGAAGTCTGTGCCCTGCCCTGAGGAGTGACCTGGATTAGCTTCCAGAGTTGGCAACCCACACGAGTGTCACCTCCCCTCACCAAGGGAGTCTCAACCTTCTTACCTCTCACTTGTGATTCTTACCATGATACTGTCACTGTGATTTGGCTTTTGAGGAGTTACTATTAACTAGTTAAACTTGTGGCTTAGCCCTCACATCTCACGAGTTACCTGTATCATCACTTTTAGAGGCCACAGGGGAGCCTTTTTTATAAAGCTGTAGCAATCCTGGGTGATGATGTTTGCAGCTGGATACCACAGCAGGAGCCTATGGAGTGGCCGTCACCCACTCTTGACAGTGCTTATTATCTGGGAATGATGGCCCAAAAGGTTGGAAACAAAGTATTGTGACAACAAAAGTTTATTTTTCGTCTGTCAACTTTACCTCCTTGATAAATGTATGTTCTGCCATTGGGCTTGCTGAACAAAATCAGTTTCTGGTCTTATCAGAGTTAGGGTTTGAACTAAGAAAATCCCTGGGGGACCATTCCCTCTGACCTAAAGACCATGCCAGCCTCAGCAGCTGAGAGCCTGACAGATTCTGCTGGACTTGGACTGCTGGCCAGGCCCACTAAAGTATAGGAACCCAGCAGGCTCTTAATGCTCATGAACAAGAACAAGAAAAGAGAAGAATAGCTGCTATAGGACCAACAGGACTCTGGAATCCTAAATATTTTGGAGCATTTTAAGATGCTTATAATTTTCCTCTTAAATTTAGAGTTTGCCATACCTTACTGAGGGGAGGGGACCATGGTAACTTAAAATGTTTGAATTAACCCCCCCCCTTTTTAAGGGAATCATAGTAACTGTATGATTTTTTTTATATATTATCTTAACTGTGCAGTTCAAGCACCTGTTCCTGGGGCAGACCAATAATGACTTCATCTTAATAGGTAAGTGTGGACATTATGGATGTCTTAGAGTATACATAGCTCTCACTGGAATCTTTAGGGCTGGGTGTATAAACAAACAAATTTCTACTAATTCCATTAAGATTTAAAAGAATACTTAGGCTCCTTGGAAAGGTTCACATTCTCATCCGTTTCTGGGAGCAGGGGAGCAGTGCTGGGAATTAAACCCAGGGCGTTGTGCATGCTGAGCCCCATCCTCAACTCTGGTTCTAATCTGATCTTAAAGCTACTTGCTTAAATCACGCGACTTGTTAGTTTACGTAGATTGACTGGTGGGAGTTGTTGCACAGCTCCTCAGGCCTTGGTGCCCAGCAAGAGCCACTCATCTGATCTGAGATCAACGCCAGAGTTCAAAACTGCCATCTTGGGCAGAGGGGCAGTCAGGACTCAATGAATGTACCATGAGGGCTGGCTGGAGCAAGGCCGAGTCAACAATATTGGAAAATAAGGTGATTGACTATAATCGTGTTTTTTTCCATAGAAATTTCAGGCATTTTGAATTGGAAGGAACTTGCGCAGAAATGTCACGCTCTGGTGCCTTGACCTCGCGTGTAGGTGAGGTGCTGACTAGCATCAGGCCCCATGTTTATGTTTCCCCCCACTACACACAGGCCCAAGTCCACCACTGACAGGACCCGATTTAACATGACCTCTGATATATCAAATAGGGATTATGCCAAACCTTTCTAGTCACAAAATCTCAGTAAGTTGTTGAGAACATTAGGAAAGCAGTTCATGATATACACCAGACACTGCTCCCTGGGTGTAACTTGTGCTTTCTTATGCATTTGGATCTCTGCTCTATTAAGCAGAAGTTCGCTAGTCTCAAGCCCTCGCCCCCAGCTACTTGCACCAGGGGATGGGGGCAGCCGTGCTGACTGGAACAAGCTGAGGGTAGGTACTGTTAGGGCCGAATGATCTTTGAGGTGTTCTGAACAGGCGCACGTGTTAATGTATAGATATGTTCCATTTGCTTATGTCTAAACAAGGACATTAGATTATCTAAAGGAAAAAATGACCTAAACAACAATAGAGGAACCACCTCTTCAGGGGCCAAATGCTCTCATTGCCTAGGGTCATGAGAGTGCCAAAGGTGGAACAAGAGGCAACCAATGACAGGGACTGGAACCCCTGTTCTGTTAGAATCAGTCAGCAGAAGTCTATGGAGTGCAGTGTACGGTACCCTTTCCAAGGGGCAGAGAGGCCATTAGACAAATTATATCAACAATGTCGCTAGAAAACTGCAAGAGACAGAAGAGCAACATACACAAGGCTAGAATCCAAGACAAGGTATTCTCACTGCCAAAATTAAATAACAAACCAACTTAAGGATTCAAGTTGCTGTGACCTGTGCGCAGATGTAAGGTAAACCAGAGGAAGTCTAGCAAACGGGAAGGCAAGGTGAGGCAGCTTTAATCAGGCTCCATGTTAACTATTACCCCATTATAAAAATTTCATCCAGATGTAGCAAAGGCAATATGGTGCCTAAATAGTGGACACATCATGGGCCAATTTTAGCCATTTGTGAGGGGCCTCATGATAACCAGTGCTTCCAAGAGGATGTCGAGAAGTCACCACTTCTGCTGAGGCCACACACAAGAGGTACAGGAACCCCATCTCATGGGACTTTAAGAGGATTGCTTGTTTTAACTCCTTCAAGATGTAAAAGTGCAGTTTGGTTATACTTGTCATCTTTAGTAGGTAGTTCAAGAATCCCAAATGTCACTGCTGTGTTTCCAAGTGTATCCAGATGGATATGGCTACATACTTAGATGTAAGCCCATTCAGTCTAGCCTGTGGCATGGTGGTGCACACCTGTAATCCTAGCAACTTGTGAGACTGAGGCAGGAGGCTTGCAAGAAGGCCTCTCTCAAAAAAGGCTGAGGATGGAGCTCAGTGGTAGAGGTCCCCTAGGTTCAATCCCTAATACCTAAAAAAAAAATAAAGAACCTAGTTCAATTACTGTCCCATAGAAAATTGAGTCACAGGCTAATTTTCTCTAAGACACACAGGTGGTTGGAACATATTGCACCCTGGTCTTCTCTAAAATCAAACTCTTTACAGTAATCCCCAGAATGTCTGTCAGTGTTATATAATAAATGTTATATAATAAATATGTATTTTGTAATTAGGCAAATTAATAACTGCTTGTAATGCCAACAGGCAATAAGAAGAGTGACAGCACCAAGGAGTAATGTTTAAGACATTCCCAGTGGAGACAATCCTTTCTAGACTCAGTTGGTGATGCTTGATGACAGGTGACAACAAGAAGTTCAAGTATTCTTTATTCAAAGTTGAAAAATGTACCATACTGCATTATTGCAAAAATTCACTGGTACAAAACACTTTGCAGCTGGTGAAAAGGCAATAAAAAGTTGATTTTTATACTTGTTACTATAAATTACTGTTACAGTACTTTGCAAATTTAGAATTTTCAAACTGCATTTTCTTTTTCTAAATTGCCCACAGTACTCGAGGTTCCTGAAGCTAAGGCAGCTGTTTCAGAGGAGAAGGGAGGAGGAGGTAGCAGATGTCAAGGGATTTCCATTTCTCTTTCAATGCCCACATACTTCAGGGCATCGGCCTGGCTGTATCTGAAACAATATGAAAGAAGGAAATGACCATGTAGCCAATAAATGTGGTGAGATGAACACAACCAAGCCTGATGAACACACACCCCAAATTACACAGCTGCAGGCATGAAGACTGTGCCACTGGTCATCTAGTTGAGAAGCTGCCAAGTTCTGAAGTGGACAAACCCTTGACTACAAGCAATCCTACAGCCTTCCGCCCTGCCCTCCTGGTGGGTGCCTTGGCAAACTGCCCCAGGGGCAGCTCTACATCATGATGTTTGGGGTCTGATACTTAGAAAGCAAAATGGAGACAGAACAGTGATCTGGGAAGATCTAAAGCCTCTACTAAACAGCAGCCCTCTGGTCACAGCCAAGTGCAGAAAGACCTGGACTCTAGCACATGCCAAGAAAGGCACTTTTGAATCCCACCAGCTGGTAGAGCCTCCAGCCATATCCAATTGGGGGCACTGGGCAGCTTTGCCTCCCACCCCAAACCTGCCCACTGCACTTGCTCAGAGCGAGCATGAAACAAAGCTTCTGGCAGGAGAAGAACCCTTATTCAGATCTTTCATTCAGTTCTCCTTTGCCTATGCAGCAGGCTGCCGTGAGAACTGGGGACATGTGGGCCTATTCAGTCTCAGGAATTCTTTAGACATCTTCGATCACATGTAAATAAATATTACTTGTGCTATCACATTTACCCCAGAGTCTGATGGTGTAAACCAGCAGAGTGGCAGCATCTCTCAAAATCCCAACAGCTACTTCCCTGTAAAGAACCCATGAGGCAACCAGGTGGCTATCTGCTAACAGTGTCCCTTCCCAAGTACTGAATAATGGTGTATTACAAGTATGCTAATGCTATGCGACCTGAAAAAGTCCAGGAGTCACACCCAGCTGTCAACATCAAGGTGAAAAACAGCGTTTTCTGCTTGCATTTTATTGTATTATAAAAATAAGCATTACTTGTATAATTAATAAAGTGTACTACCAGGGCAGTGTAAGCAGCTCCCCACCCATGCCCAGAATAGTGACTAGCCCTCAAAAGAATGCCCCTCCAGCAGATCTATCCAAGACTGAAAAACAGCTTTTGTGCAGTTCATAATGCAGGTACAAAAAGTACTTAGATCACTTCAGAAATACACTTTACCAACCTGTAGTCAAAAAACAGCTCTTCACCAGTCTGGATGGCTCTCTTAGCAAAGATGCCTATCCTGTGATCGCCATTAACCATCATAACTGGAAGAAGAGACAATGGTATGAGTGGGCAGCTAGCATAAAGGCAGGCCAGGAGGTTAATGAAATGACGTGTTCACATAACAGACTGCCCAGAATTAAAACCCATTATCCCTGGGCTGCAAAGGGAATTCCTGTTAAACTAATAATTCTGACTTCATAAAGTACCCACCTTTTGCATAGCAGTTAGGATTTACTGAATGATTTGCAAAACGAATTTTGTTACCCTTGCGGGTTGCATCCACCACAAAATCTAAAGAAAAAAAGCAATCACAATCCAGTGAATCATTTCAGTTCTAAACACAACATGATGATGATTCTGGAAATGCAACTGATTACAGTTTTTCAGAGTGTGACTTCAAAAACAAATAAGTCATTCAACCAACTTCATTCAGCATAAATGGCATTTGGAAGAAAATGCTGTTCTAGTTTAGAATTCATCCTTGATAATGCAAGTGACTCTATCTCAAATGCTATTAACTCATCAGTTATAAAAGTACACATTTCTAAGTAAACCATGGCCAAGAAATGTAATCTCAATTTCCTCCACATCAAGAACAAGCATTTGCATTTTCACATCTGAAATAATATGAATATTTTAATGGAACTTATTAATAGGGAGGGGAAAAAAAACACTATTCTTCTTGGTCCAGATGACAGTGTCTCTGAATGTCTCGCGTCAAGTACACCTGCATCTTCGCATAGTCATACTACAGATGCTCACTGCAACGGCTATAAAAGGAGCAGCCTTCTTTCGCACAGTCTGTAGATGACATCTGGGGAAAGTCTGGGAGGTGCTTTCCAATGCCGTGCTCCCCACCCTTCCCAGTCGGAAGAAAGACCAGAGTGTGCTGCACTTAATCTGTTCAACCCTCAAGTTCTCTGTGCTGTTGCTTCCTCAGTATTTCAAAGTATGTCTCCTCAGAGCCAGAGTCTGGGGGCCAGCCCCATCCCACAGATAGTGGGTACTGCAGAGACCGATTCCTGTATCCATCTGTTCCCTGAGAAATTACCCAGCTCCAGTTCCCTTTAAGCAGGCAACCTCACCTGAACCAACACCAGGAGGTGAGGAATCAGGAGCTGCTCCTAGGGAGCCCTCCTTCCAGTCACCCTGATGACCTCTCATTTCATTTCTAATGCTCAGCCAGCAGAAGGCTCCCAAACCAACTTGAAAGGATCAAGTGCCTTATAGCTGAGAAACTTACCATTGTTCAAGTTGAATAGAAAGCTGCACATGTACTTATCATACACCTTCCCTCTTCTGTCTGCTTCATCTTGAGAAATAATCTAAAAAGACACAGGAAGAAATGTATTAGTGTAGGTGATCAGGCCTGGTAGAACAAACAAGAGCATAAGAGAATCTTGGACCTTCTTGAGAAGACGCTCCAAAAGGGGTAATATAGCCAATCTCTCTTCTCCATTCAGTCTGCACACTGATTCAAAAAAAAACAATGTTTTAAGGACTCTAAATCAAAGATATTTCCTTATTGAAGGTAATTATGCTTGGAAAAAAGTGATTTTTCTAAAGATTTTTTGCTGAATAAACAGTATAAACCATAGCTTCAAGGTCCAACAATTTTTTTTCCCTAACCCTACAACTAAAAAGGTAGGTTATTAATGACACTGTTGTTTTGAGGTCCTTGTCAACTATGTTGTGGATTAAGACAGACACAACACAGCAAAACTCTTGTTGCTGCTCTTGTCCCAAGGTGGTAAAAACGTGTCCTAAAACTAAAGCAGTCCAGTTACTAAACAAACCAAATTCACAAGCATGAAATAAGCCCAACCTGAAAGGCATTTTATTAGTTCATTAGTCAAACACAGTGGACTTGCCCAGTGCAATCAATGCAAAACAAAGAAAAGTTTTAAAAAGAGCCATCTGAACACGTGATTAGTGTGCCGTGACTTACCTCTCCACAGTATTCTGAGATGAATTCATTTTTCTGTACAGGATCTTTGATAAAAATCCCCCAGCCTGCCACATCAGATGGTGCCAGCAATAAATGCTAGAGAATAAATCAATCACATAATCAAAACAAGGAGAGTAAAGAGACTGGTGACAACAGAATGAAAACCAATCTATCATTTAATAAGTATAAAACATTAAAAGTGGTGCACGCCTATAGTCCCAGCAACTCGGGAGGCTGAGGTAAGAGGATTGCAAGTTCAAGGCCAGCCTCAGGAATTCAGTGAAGCCCTGCACAACTTAGCGAGACCCGGTCTAAGAAAATCAAAAATAATAAGGGCTGGGGATGTGGCTCAGTGCAAAAGTGACTCTGGGTTCAGTCCCCAGTAACACCAAAAACAAAAAATAGAAAACCAACACCTCAATATGGCCATCAAACTACAAAAATGTTTTGTTAAACAAAATAGAGAGGAAAAGTAAAGTATCCAAGTATCCCCCACCTTACAGAAAAATGCCCTCTGGGGTTTCAACTCCCCTCTGGCTACAGCAAATGTGAAGACTGCTGCACTTTCACTTCCCCCTTTCAGTCCTTAACTCCTTGAGCAATTCACTTTCAACTTGAATGGTTCTCTCCAGGCCTTTTCTTCCACTCCTCAAAGTGCTTCCATCTATTATCAATTCAAGAACTCGGCACACTCTGGTTCTTCACTGATGTTCTTTCCTTTGGAGACCCACACATTTCCTCCTTGGTAGAATTCTTTTGGATTTGTTCTTCCCAGTACTTTCTTATGATAACATGAAAAACTATCATGAAATGGTATTCTGACCTCGTCTGTCCTGCATCCTACTTGTAGCAGAGAATGCCAAGATAACCAGGCAGTTGATAGCACTGGCTAACAATTGGTTCCCAAACACACTAACTTTTCATCATGGCTCATGCTTTCATCCAGAATCTTCCTGTGACCTTTAAAAGGCTTTTTTGTCACCTAAACTTCTATCACCATTCTACACACACCTGTCAAAATTACCCAAATACTCTCCTGATCAGAAATGAAATTAGGTAACTATTATTAAGCAAATGAAGGCCAGTGGGTAAAAAGTTATCTATAGTTTTCTATTAACTTATCAGCAGAAACAATATCATCTATTTTCTGAACACACTGAGGGAGAAGTGTGTCCTAAAATGGCAAGCAACAGTGAGGATTAGGAGATTTTTAGATCTGAATAGGTGCACAAGAAATAGCCAACATCATGTGATCTGTTGACCTAAATAGGCATGCAACCACCTGGAGAAAATGATCCAAACGCCTAAAAGGAGAATCACCCTGCACCACTAATCCAGGTCAGATCTGCCATAAATACAGATGTTGGTTCAAAGACATAAGGGGAAAAAAACCAAGAGGAATGTTTTGCCCTAGGACAGGATTTCTTTATTTTATTATTATTTTTTTTAAGGGTGGGGAGGAGGGATCTCCTAACAATAGGGTGATCTCAATCAGGTATGGTTCAACCACCTGAGATGTGCATATACCAAACACAAGCAAAAGAGCAAGTAAGGGTGCAGTGGTCAGCAGTAGGGAGTCTGGGGCCACAGCACCCAGGGCTCAGTTCCTACTCCTTGACTTGAAAGTCCTGTCCTTATCTATGAAATGGAGTAAACAGTTTTTCCTAACTCCCAGGATTATGAGGATTAATGAATTAATACAGAAAGCACTCAAACATTGCCTGCTACATATTAACTACCTTAAAAATGGCGGCTGTTCAGCCATTAAAAGGATTAATTGAGAAAGCACCTAGTGCCTGCCCTAAAAAAAAATTGAGGATACTGAATTTTTCTAGAACTTTGTGTTGCTAGTTTCTTTGGTTCAATATTTGGCTGCTACTTTTAAAAAAATCACCTACCTGCAATTCCCAGGCTTCTTAACTCCTGGTGGGGTTGTTTTCAAGGTTATTAAAAAACCAGAGCTAAGTATACAAAAACTGGGAAATTTTACCTTTGATTCTGCACAAAAAGGAACTTAAAAAATACTTTCTGATGAGAATGGGTCTCTACATTCTGACAGAAATCACCATTTACGTGCATTGAGGCAAAACTTCTAGTTCTGTTAACTAAATTTAAAAAGAAAAGTCAAACCATCTATTAAACAAGTAGAAATATGCCTCTTATCCCAAATCTGATACCATTAATGGCTACTTCTTAAAACTTTGGGTTTATCTTACCACCTGAGTAAGACATGAGAGCTGGGTGTGGTGGTACACGTCTATAATCCCAGTGACTCAGGAAGCTGAGGCAGGAAGACTGAGAGTTCAAAGCCAGCCTCAGCAACTTGTCAAGGACCTAAGCAACTCAATGAGACCCTATCTCTAAATAAAATGAAAAAAAGGGCTAAGGATGTGGCTCAGTGGTTAAGTGCCCCTGGTTCAATCCCCAATACCAAAAAAAAAACACATGAAAATCTTAAAAGACTCCATTCACCAGGAAAAAAGAACCCAAAGAAAAACAACCATTCTCCCTGGTTAGCTGTACCATTCAGGGATCACTTGCACCTTTGTTGCCCCAGCTAAATGGCCTAAGCCTATCCTGACATCCAACAACCATCTTCCATGTGAGACTATGTCTTACCTTTTTGGAGCCCCGCTGAATACTGCAGTTCTTGCAGGACACATTTTTACTGTCCCAGTGGTCAGCAGCTCCGCATGTAAGACAGAGGTCAGGATCACACTCTCGGACAGCCAGATAGCATGGGCACTGCTTGGTGTTGCACTGTGCTTTGCAACGGCACCCAGGAAAGCGGTTTTGACCTTCAGATATAATGTTCTTCATCACCACCACCATCATTATCATAGTCATCATCACATGTAAAAATTGCATAATGGGCCATAACAAATACTGTGCTGAATGTCTGACTCATTTAAACCCTCACAACCACCTTATCACCACTGTATCGACAAGGAGGTAAGTTAATAACAAAAGTGATGCCAGTAGGACTGAAAAAGATCACCACTGAGTTCTTATTTTCCATTTTTTAAAATTTATTAAAGTTCTATGACTTGAAAAATTGGTATGAAGGGAGAGTCTGGATTAAAGAGTATCCACAGTTCTAAACCATTCCAATAGTCCATTGTTCTAAATCTTTCCTAGAGTCCAAACTTTATTTTCAATTACAAAAGTCCATTCCCTTTATGCTACTCTTTCATTCATTCTGAACACTAAAACCCTTCTGACTTTGACAAAAAAAAATTACCCAAAATATTTGGGTAGCTACCTCTAGATTTCTCTTCCATTCTATGCCTCCTTTACTGTGATTTAATTTAAATGATAAAAAAAAAAAAAAAAATCAAGTGCTTTAATAATTCTGCCTAACTGGCACGTACACAAACACACACACATTATTCAGAGACCAACTGAACACTAGCAAAATGCAGTTATAGGCTCAATAAATACTTGCAAAAAAAAATAAATTTCCTGCAGTAAATAGCAAGGGAGCACTCCCATGTTCTTACGTTTTGTTTCAAATCACTACTTTAAATTACTGACCAAAGGCTATTTAGTTCTCATGCAACTGCACCAAAGCAACAAATACTTACACTCTGAACTACATTGACAAAACTTCTCACAAAAATTTTGTGCTATCACACAAGGGCATGAACTGTCACAAGGCTGCCGTGGATGGTCACAGGGTTGATAGTTGTAAACATGGTTAGAGGAGCCGTCTGAACAAAGATAACAGCACACAGCCAATGAATCCAAGGAGATGGGAAATGTGCATCAATTCACAATTAACAAGAGTATATTCTTCCCTGCTACCTCTGGAGCTTGTTTTACTAGATTCCCTTTATTCTACTTACAATGCTACACACAGTCCTGTCTAATAAATGTTGATGAAAATCACCTCCCACCCACCAAGTGTTTGATCACTTGGGTTCACATCTTCATCCCATTTCCAAAATGCTTCTCCTTAGTGCTTCTGACTCATTCCATCCAATCAGCTTTCACTTTCCAAAAGAGAACTGACTAGAGATTCATCAACAGACATCTTCCATTTAAACTGTTTTGATGTACAGAGGTCAATTAAATCAGAATAGCCCAAACTCCAATCCAGTTACTATTCTAAAGCAAATGAAAACAAAGGAGACATTTTTAAGCTAGTAATAAAGTTAAATGAAAGATGCTAACCCTTTTTCAGTTGTATCTTTCTGCAGTGCGCAGCCCACAACCTGCAAAAACAGAGAAAACAAACTTTTGTGAAGCTGGGAGTCAGAGCTACAAATCCAACCAAGGACCATTTAACTGGCTTTATGTGCACCATTAATACAGCAGCACTTGAAAGCCAAAGAGTCATATTCTACCCAGCTTCTATTTGCTCACCAGCCCAGAGTGATTCAGGGGCAGCTTTCTCACTCAGGTTGCCATGCCAGGCCAAGCAGAAGACCACTTCCTGAACTCTTTCACATTACCTGGTCAGGACTTAGAAACAGCCAGGCTTCATATGGCAGGTGTGCCCACCTACTGATTTATTCTGATCCAGATTATGTAGATACCAATACTTTCTCTAATGTCAGGCATCATTAACCATCTAATTGTGCTACATGGTCAGAAATAATTCTTTTTTTTTTTTTTTAAGATTAATGAACCTTAATACATAAGGATCATATTAATTTTTTTAAAGGTGGGCTTTTTTAAATATTTTATTTTATTTTATTAGTTTTCAGCGGACACAACATCTTTGTTTGTATGTGGTGCTGAGGATCGAACCCGGGCCGCACGCATGTCAGGCGAGCGCGCTACCTCTTGAGCCACATCCCCAGCCCGGTCAGAAATAATTCAACCAAAACTTCAGAAGCATCTCTGAAAGGTTAAATTCCTATGGGAAAAACTTCTAATATCTTTAAATTCTAAATTTCTTATTAAAGAAATGTAACAAAACATAACATGAGCCTCTACACAATTTCTGAACCATAGTCCAATTGCCCCCTTATCAACCCGAATATGCTTCTTAGTTTAACAAAAAAAAAAAAGTGGGTTGGGGGAAGAGGTGTCCATTCGTGATTTCCCTAACTCTGGGTTTACAAATGGAATGTGCCTGGAAATGCCCACTGCACTTCATCACCACAAGCCTTTGTGCTTAGAGGAGGGTGACCCTTAAAAATCTCAGAATGCAGTGGCACACATCTAGAAAATTCAGGCTCCCAGAACTAAAGACACTTCTAAAACTGGCACAAAGCTCACAGTAGGAAGTGCATCTATGAACAGTTCATAACAAATGGCTAAGGTAATTATTTATGTAGTCTTTGGGCCAAAAGCTACTAAATGTTTTTCTTGACTAAAATTTTTATGACTCTTAACATGCCAAATCTACTGAAGCTGCTTTGTTTGTATAAAAAAATACTAGCAACTGCCAGTTAGAAACAAGATTCTACAGATTTCTCTTTAACAGGCCAAGTGGAAATGGACCCCTGTGCCAGCAAGTTGGCCTACATGCAGCCCCCACCCATGTGGCTTCTCAGCCATCCGTAGCACATACCGATGTTTCCTTTTCTTCTTTCTTGGGGGAGTGTCAACATCCTCCGCAGGAACTGGAGCAATGATGCTGGATTCTTTGACTCTAAACTCATACACCTGACAAGAGGCACATACACAGAGTCATCAGAACACTCTGCTTAATATACCAGGAAAAGGTCTTTATCATTCTTGTGCTGCAGGGTACAGAGCAGAAATCACCACCCCCGCTCAACACACAGGTGGGAAGGAAGAATTGCAGTCACATTCTGGTCAAGAGTATGATGATGTCAAGTTTAAATTCTTACTAGATTTTTTAAAACACCATGTCCAACTTAAATATATAAAGTGGGGAAATTTAGTGATATAACTTAAGAATAATAATTTTCATTTAGTTCTCTCATGGGGGGAAAAATTATTTTCAGAAAATCAATAGGAACTTAATAACCAAGAATTTTCTTTTGTCTGCACAAGAGTTACATATCATATCCATATATTGGAAGATCTTATAACCATTTTAGCAGATCTGCTTACCTGTCTACATGTTTTGGTCCCAATTAACCTAGCAATGGCACAGAAGTTATCATAGTAAGTACCAATGAGGACTCTGAACATCGAGGCTTCAGCACCACTCCACTCCACATTCTCAGGAGGTTCGATATTTGGCTTCATCTTTATTGGTGTTTGACACCGAGAATTTGCTTCTACAAAACCAAATGCAAGTATTGGTCAAGAAATGGTGACTAGTAATAGTAGTAGGAAGTAAAACTCAGAGTGTGCTTAAGAAAACAAAAGGAAGTTAATCATATTTTTTAAATAAACTAGGGCTAGAAAAAGTACCAACAAGACTCCCCCAGAAAAACCATGAAGTTGGTATGCAACCTTCCAAAATGAACGCAGACTATGACTATCACTATGCATGGTATAGAGTTGGCAGGACAGCTAAAATCAATCAGTAATGCAGTAAACTCATCAGTAGTTCTAGTTTTCCAACCAAAATTCTCAGGACATCAAGAATATTAAACCAAAGTATCTAAATTTCATGATGTCCTGAGAAAGATGGAAAAAGGAAAGTGGCACAAAGCAGGAGAATGAATATTAACCTTCCAGTAATCCAGAGGGTTACTGTGACAGGCCAGGGTAAGGCGGGTAGACAGCAGTGACAATGCAGCCACACATCCTTGAGCAAATTCTCTGGTCTCAGCTCATACAGTGAAAAATAACCAACCCAGAAAAGTATTCAAAGCATTACTTAATCTGCCACATCCTTAGTCTGCCACAATACGAACTTGCAAAGCAATAGTAAAACCCAAATATCAGATGTGTCTTACCAGAGGAGCTGGAAGTTTCATCTTTTTTCTCCTCCTCTTCTTTATCATTGTTCTCTCCCCCAGTTTCAGTCCCTGCTTCCCTGTCACTGTCTGTGTCCTTTGACTCCAGCACATTGATGGTGGGGGTGCTGGGCCTGCTGCTGTTGTTGGGAAGCCGCCCCCTTCTGCGGCCTCCTGGGCGTTTTGGTGGGGTCTTTATCCGCTCAGCAGTGAGAGCAGCAGCGAACTCCTTTGCTCCCTCCTACAAAATGAAAAAATGTAGACATCAGGGTAAAGTTTGAAAACACGTTTTGGTGGAAGATGGGGGGGGGGGGGCGGGGGAAAGACATTGTATAAGGCAAATTAGTCAGGAAATTTATTACGATAGCTACTGCAAATAACCCTTTGCAAATCTAAACATACACTGGTTATTGATATGCTTTTGATGGTTTGAAAATTTCAGAAAGATAAATACAGGTTCAAAATATTGTTATAGTAGTACAGAATCAGGCAAGACAGTTCTGCATGATGAATTTGTGAATATATATTAACTTATTACAATTGAGTTAAAATATTATCTCTCTAAATATAAAACGTTAAACTTTATATAACGGTATTCTCTCTATATACACACACAGTCTATTTAAAAGTGAATCATTACTACTAAAAGAAACGTATCAATTGTGCATCAAGCCAGACTCCCTATTCCAGGGTCTAAGATAACGCATACCTTTCTTCAGTAATACTTAAAGTATACAAGAAAAACATAAAACATATAAACATGCATGCCTCTTATGTCCTGTCTTACTACCAAAACCATTTTTTTTTCCTGTGAAGGATGCATTGTCACAGGAAGACATAAAAAGAACTATAGGAACAAGACTATAGAGCTATATTTTGCATTCTTAAATACAACAATCCAATCTCAGAAAGTATAAAACAATGGTAAGAGCATGGTTTATAGAAAGACCACAGAAATATTTCAGATGAGCCAAATAAATTTCTGCATATTAGAAAACAGTATTCAAGAATTCCATTTTTTAGTGGAAATAGAAGGGAGAAGTTTGAGAGCAGCCAACAGTTTTATACTTCGTTCTACAAAAACCAAATTGCTTAAAAATAGGATACCTTCTGCAGGTGCCATTCACTGAATCTTCTGTCCAAAATCCAACAGGCAATATATACCCATTTAGTTCCTAGGTAGGAGTGGCTTGGTTCAAAGAGGGGAAATGGTAAAAATAAGATAGTACCCGTAAAAAAACAACTTTTCTACCTCATATTTTTCTAACCCCTTACCTTTTCTCCATCACTTAAAAAAAAAAAAAAAAAAAGAAAAACACAACTCTGGGGTCTGTATTATAGCTCAAACTACAGAGAACCTACCTACCACTCACAGGAGGGATATTGCTCTGAGATAGGTCTAGGAACTGCTGCACATGATTACTAGCTTCTGGTGTCTAACTGGGCTATCTGTACTTCACTCTGTAGAAGGCATAGGGTCCTTGATCCTAAAGACCTTGAAATGTTGCCAAAGAAATAAAACATATAAACACAGAATAATACAAGGACTAAACTGTGCAGTACATAAGCTATGAAAGAAACACAGGTGAGAAAACTGCCTGTCAGGTGGCCAGTAGAAGTATGGGTACAGACAACACATATCTGTCTTCATCACCTCCATCAAAGTATAAAAGTAAGCCTTCTCAAGAACCCTCTGGAATAACAAAGCACTAAATCTTACCAAATGCTGGTAACACTGGGGTCCACAAGGCTTGTTGTCCAGAGCTGTTTCTGTGTTTTTCCGCTTGTATGTGTTGGGTGTTGCATGAAAAGCTGCAAGATAAATTAAACAGTATCTGAATATAACTATACAGGATGTACTTTTTCACTTTCCCAGCTCCAATGGAAAAATCAACTAAAAGATTACAATTTTGCAAATGTATTATTTACATAACTATCCTCCAAGCTCTTACTGAACTATCACAAGATATTCCCTATTCCTCCTACAACCCAAGTGAGGAAACATAGTAAACTGGAACAATGAATGATTTCTTACTATCTCCTTGCAAGAATAACTAATTTACATAAACTGTGATTATAAACATTAATTTGAGTCTTTAATATCAAAGAGTAGATATTCTAAAATAAAACTGTATTTCCTTTTTTTGGGGATTGAACTCAGGCACGAGATCTCAACCACTGAGCCACACCCCCAGCCCTATTGTGTATTTTATTTAGAGACAGGGTCTCACTGAGTCACTTAGTGCCTCGATTTTTGCTGAAGCTGGCTTCAAACCCTTGATTCTCCTGTCTCAGCCTCCCAAACCGCTGGGATTACAGGTGTGTGCCACCACACCATCTACTTTTAGTCAAAATAATTCTTTTTTCATTATCAAAAATAAACAAGAGAATTCTGACATCTGCAATTTGTTGATCTCTAAAGAAAGGTCAATAGTAACAGCAGTAGAATGAAATGGGTAGTTCCAGATCACTAATGTCATGGTCTGGATATGAGGTGTCCCCCAAAAGCTCACGTGTGAGACAATGCAAGAAGGTTCAGAGATGAAATGATTGGTTATGAGAGCCTTAACCCAAACAGTGAATTAATTCCTTGATAGGGATTAACTGGGTGGTAACTGCAGGCAGGTAGGGTGTGGCTGGAGGAGGTGGGTCCCTGCGGGAGTGCCTTTGGGTTTTAATATTTTGTCCTTGTTGAGCAGCATTCTCTCTCTGCTTCCTAGTGTGGTGTCTTCAGCCTCTCCACCACACTCTTCTGCCATGATGTTCAGCCTCACCTCGAGCCCTGAGGAATGAGGCCTGCTGTCTATGGACTGAGACCTTTATACTGTGAGCCCCCAAATAAACTTCCTCCCCCCTCTAAAAATGCTCTCTTCAGGTCTTTCAGCACAGCAGAGAAAAAGCTGACTAAAACAACTAACATTCAATTCCTCTGAATCACATGCAGTTCAAGAACCTAGGAAAAGCCAGTGCCTCTCTACAGGCAAACACAATGGTCACACACAATGGTTTGAGGGCTGGGTTTGTGGCTCAGTGGTAAAGTGCTTGCCTAGCATGCGTGAGGCACTGGATTTGATCCCCGGCACCACATAAAAATAAAACAAAGGTATTGTGTCCAACTACAACACACACACACACACAAATACACACATTTTTTTTTAAAAGATAGTGTTTGAAACCTAAAATTTCCAAATAATATGAAAATAGAAAGATTGTAATGATGCTTCAAAGATAATGAAAGCAGTGTGAACACACAGTAGTACAAAATTCAGAAAATCTCTAAGTGTGCTTCCTCCTGTATGAGGGCAAATGGTAGAAATGACCTGTACAGAATGAGGCAATTGTGAAAATCATTTTAATTTGGATAAAAAAAGTGAAAAAATCACAAAACCATTTTAAAAATAATTGTAACAAGTCAAATTTAAACATAATTACATTCTAGAGATCGTCAAGATGCAATACAGACAGGCTGATGAAGGGGGAAAAAATGAGGACAGTTACTAATATGATTTGGATATAAGGTATCCCCCAAAACCTCCTGTTACTGCAAGAATATTCAGGTGAATGATTAGATTATGAGAGCTGAAATCTGACTGGTCCATCCTAGTTTGAATGGGCTGAATGGGTGGTAGCTGTAGGCAGGTAAGTTTAGCTGGAGGAAGTGAGGAGATGGGTCACTTGGGGATATGCCCTGGGAAGGCTGTTCTTCCTGCATTCTCTTTCCGTTCCTCTCTCTCTGCTTCCTGACCTGCTAGGAGTCTTCCTCTGCTGAGTCATTCCCCCATGATAAGCTGCCTCACCTAGGGCCTGACCTGTAACACCAGAGCCCCTCCCTCCAATTTTTTTCTCCTTTAATTTGTTCTTATTTGGTGTCTGAGTCATAATGACAAAAAAAGCTAACTCCACATCATGTACAAGAATAGGAAGTTCTACTCCATTATGTATTATATGTCAAAATACATTCCACTGTCATGTATAACTAAAAAGAATTTTTAAGAAAATTTTTAAACGTTAACCATCGGATTGGGGTTGTAGCTTGGCGGTGGAGGGCTTGCCCACCAAGCGCAGGGCCCCGAGTTCAATCCTCAGCAAAACACAGGGAAGGAGGGAGGGAGGGAGGGAGGGAGGGAGGGAGGGAGGGAGGGAGGGAGGAAGGAAGGAAGGAAGGAAGGAAGGAAGGAAGGAAGGAAGGAAGGAAGGAAGGGTGGGTATCCAACTACAACTAAAAAATATTTTTTAAAAAATGTTAACTATCAACCACAGACTTTTTGAAATGCCTTCTTTGAAATTCTAACCATTTATAGGCATTAAAAATTCTACAATCAACATGAGTAGACATTCCAGAAAGAATAATAAGAACAGATTTTCACATATCACAAAGGATAAACTGATACAACCAGGTCTTATACTTAAAATGGATTTCCTTTGCAGGAAATTCAGATAATAGAATGCATAGTAAAACATTTCTTTCTGTTACGAATTCTGTTCAGGCCAATTTAAGTATATCGGACAACAACCTCTGCTTACTTTCCCATGCTTCCTTCTTCTCACTCCCTACCAAAAATGTTGTGTTACTTGTTTTCTACCCAAGTTAATTCAGTAGCTGACCCTGGTTCCTCAAAGACTAGGTAGTCAATCTTTGGCTGGAGTTTTGATAAAGAATGACCATAATTCAACATTTGTGGATCAACCAGACTCCAATTTACAAAATGGATTGTGATCTAAAAGTAACCGGAAAAATGCAATGACTAATAGCTTCCTGACTAAAGCCATTTATCCTTCAAGGCTCATCAGAACATTCACATCTCTCTAACAGAAACTGAATTCCAGTGCAGCATACCCAGCCTCTGACCCAGATGGATTACCAATCCCTTACCATCCAAACATCATCCTTATATAAACAAATTGGAAGATACTCCTAACATCTAAGTAACAAGTAAGGCTTAATCAGTAAGGCAACCAACACAGGAACAATAAAAATGGTTAGTTCGTGAAGTACATTTCATGTAGAAGCTGCTAATCATCCCTTAACAATGAGCTAAATAAGAAAATATTTTAAAAAATTGAATTCCTTAAATTAATAAAAATGCCAAAATCTCACTAAAAGTGGAGACAGTTCTCTGAAGACAATTCACTGTGTCATAAACACATACACTAACACAAAGAGGAAAAAGTAAAAACAATGTTAAGGATCAAACTCAAACAGAAAAATCAGTGAAACTAACAGTGGTTGGTTCTGAAGGAAAAATACACAAATTTGGTTTGTGAAAAATAACGTCTTCATCTCATCAAAAACGTCATCTCATCAATAACGTCTTCATCTCATCAAAAACAGTATAATGAAAGAATAACCACAGAAATAAAAGAATCAGAGAGCATATAGATCAACTTTATGCAAATAAATTTCAAAACCTCGATATAAAGAATAATTTTCTACAACTAAGAAGTGACAGAAAATAGACTTGCACTAATTTTAAAACTGTAATGAATAAAACAGATCAAAAAAAAAACCAGATAAAAAAATGCAAAACCATCAATATTTGCATGTAATTTAATTACACAGCTTAAACTCAAGCTCAAGAGTGTAGCAAGAAAATCACATAAAGATAATTTAATAAGATAGCAGCTACAAAATATCTAGTGAGAAATAATGGGGAAACAATAGCAACAACAAACTAAATACCTAGAAATAACCTTAGCAAAAAATGCCCAAGGGTTGCATGAAGAAAACACAAGAGCCTCAATCATATGGTTGATTAGACTTTACATTTATTTAAAAACAGTCCAATTTTCCCTTAGGTAATCTGTAAACTGAATAGGATTATAATTTGGTTTTTTAACTAGACAAACCAATTCTAAAATTTGAAAAGTAAAACAAACAAAAATAGCCAGGAGATTGCTGAATAAAGGTTCGCCAGTAGACAGGCAAAAGGAACTTATAAAGTTGAGAAACAGACCAAAACACATATGGTAGTAAGTAATAAGTACTGTATCTCAAAGCAGTGAAAGATTTAAACTTCTCAATAAATGATACTACAACAACCAGGTTAACTTTGGAGGTGAAGAGGAGGAGTTGGATTAATAAATCACACTAGAATAAATTTCACATGGATCAAAAATTATATATGTACACACACACACACACACACGAATTCAGTTTTTGTTAGAGAGATGTGAATGTTCTGATGAGCCTTGAAGGATAAATGGCTTTAGTCAGGAAGGTATTAGTCATTGCATTTTTCCGGTTACTTTTAAGAAGCCTAAAACATACTAGGAAAAAGTGGGAAGAAAGCAAATAGGTCAGGCCCAGCGGCCTGCCAGCGTGGTACACACGTCACCCCAACTGGAGTAGGGGCAGAGCAGAGCCTTCGCCCACGCCCGGATCAGGCCCCGCCGGTGTGGTGGTCACGTGACCCCAATTGGAGTGGGGGCGGAGCGGAACTGCCACCCGTGCCCGCAGGGTGAGCAGACCTGCGACCAACCTGCAGATCAGGCCCAGTGGTCCGCAGGCGTGGTAGGAGGGGCAGGGCAGAGCCGCCGCCCGCGCCTGCAAGGTAGGCAGACCTGCGACAGACCGGCGGATCAGGCCCAGGAGCCTGCCGGCGTGGTACACATGTCACCCCAATTGGAGTAGGGGCAGAGCAGAGTCACTGCCCGTGCCAGGAACAGGCCCAGCAACCTGCCGGCGTGGTAATCACGACACCCCAATTGGAGTAGGGGTAGAGCAGAGCCGCCACCCGTGCCTGCAAGGTAGGCAGACCGCCGCCCGACCCTGCAAGGGAGACTTTTCAACTATACAAGAGCAATATAAATAT